TTATCTTTTCACTTCCCAAAGTTCACAGGGCTACAGCCTTCCTTAATGTGGCCGGTCTCCTTCTAAAATATACTTGTAATAAATCTTTTTAGAAATCTCGCTGACCTGTAATTCTTTGCTGCGTTGGCAGTGAAGAACTGAGAACCACCCCATGCCACTGGGGCAACGCCAGAGTTCAGATTGCCCCATTGGTAACAGAAAGATACTGATAAAAGAATTCCTTCTCACAAAGATCTGTCATCTGTAGCTTCTTTATTCATTCAGCAAACCTTTCTTGAGTACTTTCAGTAGTGCTAGGTTTGAAGATTAGGGATTGGAAATGTAAAGAGAAGTAAAGTATGATCTTGGCCCTCTGGGAATTGATAGTCCGGAGAAGGAAAAGATAATTACACTGCAATATTGTTTACTGCTCTAATAGAGTTATGTATGATGTACAGTAGGAGCAGGAAAGAGCCCTTCTGTTTGTGTTTGGGGAGAGCGAAAATGGGGAAAGAGAATGCTCTAGGTAGGCTCCACAGAGAAGATAATTAGTTCAATTATTCCAAGATCACTAAGGAGAGTTTTAGAAGAATTTTTTGGCCAAAGATAAGAGGAATCTCCCCTTTCTTTGACATATCTTGAATTATTTAGTAGTTTTTTGTTTTGTTTTGTTTTATAAAGCTGTGAGTGAAAGGTTTATAACTCTTGAAACATTGGTCAGAAGAACTTTTTATTCCTGGTCCTTTTGTTTTTTACTCAGATATTTCATTAAGCAGTCAGATACTACTTATACTGATTGCTCAGCCCTCTATTTGTGAGATCTCTTTGTTTGAACTATTTTAAAGGTCTGGAAGAACTAAAGACTCCCCCCCCTACCCCCCCGACCACCCTCCCACACTATCCAGGTTATTGGAGGAGCAGATTAAAAGAAGTTTGTCTATATTCAGCCTCTTTAAGAAGCTTGATCATTGCTTTTTCCTCCATGAGGTGACTTTCTTTTATATCCTAGGCAGTTGACACTGACATATCCAGTTACATTTTTCTTTCTCATTTGGGGCATTTAGAAAAAAACATTTCACAAGAAAAGCAATGAGCAGGTGCTTATTTATAGCATCTTTTTCATTGTCTTATCCTATTTAGCAGTCTCTTTCCCATTTTATCACAACAATCTAATCTATATCCCATAAGGAACAGATAGAATAACTAGTATAGAGGAAAGGTAGCATATTTTAGTAGTTGGGAGTGTAAAGTCTAGACAACTTCTGGATTCATATCTAAGCACCATTGCTTACTGGCTGTGTGACCTCGAACCAATAAAAACTCAGTTTTCTCATTTGTAAAATAGGGGTAATAACGATACTTAGCTTTTGTGAAAACTATACATGTAAGTACAAGTATAATGCATGAAACAGCACCTAGCCATAATAACTAACAATATTTATTGACTACTTAGTATTATTAGCAAGAAAGCGTATTTTTCATATTGAGAATTTTATAGGTAAAATAGTATGATGTCAAGTGTTTGTTTTTAAATCTTAAAAACAAAAACAAAAAACCCAGCCTGGAAAATTAGAAGAAACAGCTTTAACAAAATGTTGATAAATGAAGCTTAGTGATGGGTATGTGGGGGTTCATTATACTATTATACACTTGTGTGTTTTTGAAATTTTCCATAATAAAAGATTATTTTTTAAAAGGTGCATCTTTTAGGAGATTCTCTTTTGACAGTTGAATATTTTAAGAATTTTCAACATTACCATTTCTAAAAATTTCACAGGCTTCCAGTGCTTGCTTCTGTCTTCCAGGAACCCAGTGTGATAGTAAGTTCGTGTGTCACTTCCCACTGCCCAGTATTCATATATCCAAAATTTAAAGATTTTGTATACCATTTTGCAGTGGTGACGGGGGCATAGTCTTCATCTCTTCTCTGTTTATATATAAAGAGGGAACATGTTTAGTGCTATTTCAACTTGACAAAGTATAACTTTTCAAGTTCTTTAATAGATGTAGAGAAATAAGTAGGGAACAGAGTCCAGTGTAGTTCCTGCCAATTCAGTTTGAATCCTCTCCGTTGGGTTAATCATCTTCTTTCATTTTATCAATAATGTATATATTACTCATTCAAAATATAATAATATAAATCATCCTTTAACTCTGTTGTTCTGATACAGATGTAATCTCTTTTTAGTTTAGTGCCATGTGGTTCTTTAATAGCATTTACAAAGAACTACCAGCCACTACCTGACATCCCAGCTAATGGACAACTTTATATGAAATTATAAGTTCTTAGAGTAGAAAAAGGACCATTAATATCTTCTCATTAGTCTTCTAACACATAAATCTATTCCACGTATCTTTGCCAGGTGACCATTTAGCCTTTGCTTAGAGTTCTAATAGTGCAAAACTCATTGTCTCATGAAGGAGGTCATTCATTGCTTTCAAAGTTCTAGTTGTTAGAAAGTTATTCCTTACTTTGAGCCAAACTCTACTTCCCTGTAATTTCTAGTGGTAGTTCCTAGTTCTGCCCTCTAGGATCACAAAAAGTAACTACTCTCTTCTTTTTACTTAAGGTGTTTTAAAGACTTTACCATGTTAAATATCTCAGATTAAGATTTTTAATGATTACAAAGTATTATATAATTTATTATTTCATCTTGGATAATTAGATTGTGTCCATTTTCATTGGTAATGCAGCAGTGAACATTCTGGTCAATAAATGTTTATGTACAACTCTTATTTCTATAGGATGAATGCCTAGAAGTGGAGTTGCTGGGTAAAGTATATAAACATTTTAAAAACTTTTGTTACATGTTACCAGATTGTCCTGCCCCCACAAATTGTATTTTTTATTGTCACAATTTGATAGGTAAATTTTAACATATTTTGTTCTAATAGTGAGGTTAAACATTTTTTATATGTTTATTGCCAGTTTATATTCATAATTTCTTAAAATCATCTAATATCCACACCATATTCCAGTTTCCCCAGTCCCAAAAATGTCTCGTAAATTGTTAAAACAGGATCTAATCAAGGTTCACGTGTTTAACTATTGTCTCCTTAGTCTCTCTTAATATAGGTCACTGGTTTTGTAGATTGTCCCACATTTTGAATTGTTTGTTTCCTTGTGATGTCATTTAATTTGTTCTGCTATCACCTGTATTTCCTGTAAACTGGAAGTTGGGTCTAGAGGTGGGAGTCGATTCAGATTAAGCATTTTTGGCTGGAATAATTCATAGATACTGTTGTCTATTCATCCTGTATCAAATTAGGAGGTACCACCTAATAATAGGTTGTTCCACTAATAGTGATGCTAAGTTTGATCACTTTATTAAAGTGTTAACTGTCACATTTCTCCATCGTAAAGTACATTTCCCTTTTGTAATTAGTAAGTCATCTGTGGGGTGATACTTTCGTACCATTTGAATATCCCATTCCACAGCAATTCACCTAATGTTTTGAGTAGTCATCGATGATCCTTATCTGAATCGGCTGCTACATAGAGAGTTGGGTAGAAAATGCTGATTTTCTAAATCTATCGTTTCTTCTACAATTATTAGCTAGCATTCTTTATAAAGATTTTTTTTAATATAACTGTTGATTCATGGATTTTTTTACATCAGTGTATTATAATCAATTATAGTTACTATTCTTTTTGATTTGTCCCAGATTTGACTCATGCGATCTCTTTTAAGTGGGCTCCTGTGTCTTCTGACATGACCCTATTAATCTTTTTTTTAATTGTTGGAGGTAAACATAACATTTACCTTCTTAACCATTTTTAAGTATATAGTTCAGTAGTGTTTATTCACATCATTATGAAACATCTCTAGAAATTTTTTATCTGTACAATCTCAAACTCTCCACCCATTAAAAAACAACTAATCTTTTTCCCTTCCCCAAAGCTCCT